CAGCTTCAGGGTCTGACTTGCCACGGTCTTCACACCCAGGGCCTTGGCAACACTGGGCAGAGGAAGAGGACAGGAATGGGGGAGCCAGGGAGAAGAGAAAGAGGGACCCAAGGATGGTTAGTGGGAGTCAGGAGGCAGTGGGTCAGTGGACGGGGGGATAGGACATAACCCCTGCAGGTGTAAGGCACTGAAAAGCCCCAGGGGCTCCCCCAAACAGCAGTGGGGGGGGAGCTTCTGATGAGGCACAGATGGTTTGAATTTGGGTAAATAGCATCATATTCTGCATAACATCAACTCCAAAGTAAGTGCCTGAAAAGATCCCAGATAGGACCCCTGCCTTCGTTCCAGGTTGCACCCTCTGTCTAGAATGCCCTCACAGCACTAGCACTGCTCTGTAGACCCAATCCTGCCCTGTCCTCAGGGTCTAGGCCACCTCCTCCAGGGAGTCCTCCAGGGGAGTACTCCATCCCCTGATCCTGTGTGGAATTCTCAAAAAGCCCATCCCTCCACCACCATGCCCATAGTAATAACCATAGTGACAACTTCTTGAGAAAGTATTAGGTGCCAAGAATTCCACAAGCATTATGTAATTCTCCCAATAATTGGGGAGAATTGGGGAGGGGGTGCTATTATCATTCAATTGCGTAGATGGGGAAACTGAGGCAGAGAATGGTGCAGTCACATGTAGAGATGCCAAGACTGCAGGCAGCATCCCTGTAACCCCACCAGCCGTTGTAACCACTGTGTTCATGGCCTTCCTGCCTCCCTGGGATGACTGCCAGTTCTGTTCCTGGTTCAGCTCTCTCACTCATCTACCTTCTCCCCCGTGTGCATGTCCGAGACCTGGACCACCTCATCCCTTCGTCCAGCATGGGACTCATGGTAGCCAAACAGTTGTTTCCTCCGTTCCAATGGTTTGCCTGCCGCAGAGGCTTCACAGCCACCAGGGAGGCTCAAGCTCTGAGTACTAGACCCAGGCAGTCAGAGGATATTCCCGCCTGGACTCAGAGACTGCCACATATATCTACTGTATCTCTATCAATATCTACTGGGAGCTGTGGTGGCATAGTGCCTAAGGCATTTGGCCGCTAACCAGAAGGCTGGCGGTTCAAACCCACCAGCCACTCCTCGGAAGGAAGGTTGGGCAATTTACTTCCATAGTGATACCGCCTTGGAAACCCAAGAAGGGGTTGCTGTGACTCTGATCCAACTCGAGGGCAATGGGGTGAGACTCCAGCTACACACTGAGATGCTGGGTGTAAAACCATTTCCCAGCCTCCCTTGCAGCTAGGTGTGGCTGTCACTTAAGTTCTGGCCAGTGAGATGTAAGTGGAAGCTTTTTGTCTGTCCTTTAAAGGGACATCCTACCTGATGGAGTGTGGATATGATAGCTGGTGCTCAAGCAGCCATTGTGGGCCATGAAGCTAAGGATGGTGAGACAGCAAACTGGAGCTTCATGGAGCCGCCATTTGTCCCGGACTGCCCACCTCCAAGCCTTTTTTTTTTTTTTAAATATATAAGGAGAGGAATAAAGTTCGGTTTTGTTTAAGCTGTTGTTACTTTGGGCTTCTATGCAGTGTAGCCAAACCAAATCCTAACTCTCCGTCATCTGTCAAAGGTCTGCAGGTGGGATAGGAACTCCTTGCAAGCGAGGGCTGTGTTTCTTCACCACCCTCTCCTCAGGACCAGCCTGCATCTCACACTTATGGGCGGCTCACTAACTAAGGGTTGGAAAAGTCAATAAACCATGATGGCAACAGCATGGGGAAGTGTGACATCACAGTAAAGAGACACACAGATGTGGGTTCCAGGTCCAGCTGTGCAACTCTGGAACCAACGTGTCAGTGTCTTCACCCGTGAGATGGGCTGACTGACGTGAGGACCTGCCTCACAGCCAGCACGGAGGGGGGGCTCCAAGCCGAGTGCCCAAGGCTTGATGGACATGCAGCTACTCACCTGGTAATCTTGGGCAGGGAGACCAGCTTGCCGGCAGCAGTGGCAGCATGGAAGCTGTGGGCACCGATGGTCTCCATGGCAATGATGGGCACGTCCTCCCAGCCAACCTCCTGCAGCCCCTGGACCACTCCACACAACAGGCCCCCTCCGCCCACGGACAGCACAATGGCCCCCGGCTTTGCACTCAGCGTCTCCTTCAGCTCTTTCACGATGGAGGTGTGGCCTTCCCTGCAGGGGGCGGGGAGAGGAGGCAGGTCAGAGTCTGCATGAGCTCATTCCAGGCAGCTGAGGGGACTAGTCTTCCCCACTGCACCCTGATCCCCACTGCCACACCTGTGTCTTTGCTGAGGACTTCCTCTGGCCACTGAGGCTGCCCACACGTGTATCAACTGGAGATGCCAGGACACTAGCAGCCCCCGAGAGCAGCTTTCTACCAATGATGGGCATTGGTGAATACATGCCCTGCTCCTTCTCTGTCGGGTGGGATAACTGAAGTACAGGTTCTGCACTGGCTTCTAGGGTTCCCCAAAAGGATTAGGCCCCAGGTGCCCTGAGCAAGTGTCTGCTCAGGAACATGTCCGTTACCTGCCTCCTTCCTGACTCTCAACTCGTGTTTCCTGGAATCACCTCCCATCATGGACTAAACTATGCCTTCCCAAAACACATGTTGGAATCCCAACCCCTGTAACTGCAATGAAGCCTGTTTGGAAATAGAGTTTTCTTTGTTATGTGATTCAGATAGATCTGAGCAGGTGGGGTCTAGACCTAATCACTTCTGAGCTGTAAAAAGGGTCGATCACACACAGTGACACACACACACATGAGGATGGTCTACATGCCAAGGAACAGTGAGGCTCACGAGAAGCCACCAGAAACCGGGAGAGAGAATCCACGCTGCTGAGACTCTGAATTGAACTTTTAGTGTTCAGAACTGTAAGGAAACAAATTTCTGTTCTTGAAAGCTACCCCTCGTGGCAGTTCTGGGATGACGGCATTAGGAAACCAAGACTCCTCCTGAAAAAACTGCTTTCCCTGGAATTCTTGTCTCAGGGTCTGTCTTTAGAGGAACCCAACCTCGATGCCTGTGTATCTGCGTGTACATGTGTCTGACTGCTGTGTGCAGCTCTAGAGACTGGCATTTATGTGTGTGGACTAGCTGTGCCCGTGTGCGAGTGCTTCTGGGGAGGGGACAGGGCCTATGTGCACACCTGTATAAGTGCTGGGCATGACAGGGTGACAGTGTGCATTGTGGCAGGTGCCTGAGCAGTGGCATGAGAGGTGGCCGCCAATGATGCTAGGGGTCCCTAGGATCCACGTACCAGATGAGGGGATCATCAAAGGGGGGGATATAGACCCAGCCTGGGCTGTTCCTCACCAGGGCCTTGGCCAGATCAACTGCCTCATCCAATGTCTGCAAGAGCACAGAAGAGATGGGAGAGTGAGAGGACCTGGGGGAAGCTTCCCCCACCACCAGGTCCCCCCATGGCCCCTGCCTTGACATGGCACTCACCTCACCTACCACCTTGACTATGGCGCCTTCATTCTTGAGCCGCTCAATGGTGAGAGCAGGTGTGGTGCTGGGCACAACGATGGTAGCAGGGATGCCCAACTTCCTGGCAGCATAGGCGGCTGCCATGCCCGCATTGCCCGCTGCCAGGGATGGGTGTAGGAGACCATGTCGGCATGGGAGGGCCTGGGAGCCTAGTCTGGGACTGCTCACCTCCCACTTGGGACTCCGTCCACCCCCCAATTCCAAATTAGGAATGCTACAAATGTTTGCATCCTCTCATAGCGGGGAGATCAGGGCCCAGAGAAATGGAGTGCCTGGCCCGGGACAGGCAGAGGCAGGAAGACTGCAAGTCACTTACCTGAGGAGCAGACGAAATGCTCACAGCCTTGCTCAGCCCACTGTGGAGATAAGGTGGGAAGAGGTCAGTCCACCTCCTAGTCTGAGCCTGGGCTCTTCTCTCCCACCTGGAATGCCCTCTGGAAGATTCCAGCTTACATTGGCTTGTTCTGCACTGCCTGAGCCTCCACGACTACATGTGGCTCATGGGAGGGTGAAGGACAGGCAGCTGACTAATGGCCCAGGGATCAGTCCATCAAGGGGCTCTCATGAAGGGCACCCCTTAACCAGAAGCAGTGCTAACAGTGAGGGCTCAGTCCCTATGAGGGTGGTGCCCCATCCTGGGCTTACTTAGACGGCACACAGCACTGGCCCTGGCCTCCCCAGGGAGGGGAACTTGCCCCCTGCCCAGCTGGTGTGGACACCTGTCCTGTACCGTCTTGCAGAGATGCCCGATGCCCCGAATCTTGAAGGAGCCAGAGGGCTGGGAACTGTCCATCTTGAGGTAGACACTGGTGCCCGCCACCTTGGACAGGGACATGCTGTCCCGGATGGGGGTCTTCACGTGCAGGGCCTCTCCGGACATCATTGCTGGGGGGAAAGAAGGAGACCCAGAGGGTCAGCAGAGCTGGCCCTGGGGTCAGCACTTGCCCCGCAATGGGCAGCATGGCTGGGGCAACCCCTTCCGTTATTCCTCGGGGGACCAAGGGACAAGTCCAGATGATAGCATCACGGAGACCTGGGTTGATATCTGAACATTGCCACCTACTTACCATGTGACATCAGACAAGTCACCTCTTTCTCAGTCTCAGCTTCAGCAAAGCAAGGGTAAGAGTCACCATCACCTCCAACACACACACACACGTGCACACACACACACACACTCACACACACCCTTTGCTGGGAGGCTGTGAAGATCAGAAGTGACATTCAGACTTTTGCAGCCTTTTTTTTTCCCCCTAAATTTTATTTATTTTGTGGTTGAGAACTTAGACCAATTCAACAGCTTCTATATGTTCGGTTCCGTGACAATGATGACGTTATTCGAGTGGTGCGTCCCTTCTCACCCTCCTTTTCTGAGTTGTTCCTCCCCCACTGACATGAACTCACTGGCCCCTAAGCTTCCCATCCAATCTTTTAAGTTGCTGTTGTTGATTTGATTGCATTGAGATAGATCTGAAAAGAACACAGTACTCTGGGCCGACCGTTTCTACCATGAAGATAAACTATTGTTTGGCTTTAAGACGGCTCCAGGGAATATTTTTGGTCTAAGGTTTAACGATTATCTCAGGGCAATAGTTTCAGGGGCTCATCCACCCTTCATAGCTCCAAGAAGTCTAGAGTTCGTGGGAACTTTAAATTCTGTTTTGCAGTCCTCCCCCCTTTTGATCAGGATTCTTCTATGGAATCTTTGATCAAAATGTTCAGTAACAGTAGTTGGGCACCATCCAGTTCTTCTGGGCTCATGGCAAAGGAGGCAGCTGTTCATGGAGGCAGTTAGCCACACATCCCATTCCCTCCTCCTGTTCCTGCCTCTCCTCCTCCTTCTGTTGCTCCGGGTGAATAGAGACCAATTGGTGTGCCTTGGATGGCTGCTTGCAAACTTTTAATACCCCAGGCACTACCTAATGAACTAGGAGCCAGAACAGAAGCACTAAACACATTATTAAACTCTCTGCTGTCAAGTGGGATCCAACTCATAGCGACCCCTCCTTGAGTTTCCAAGGTAGTATCAATAGGGAAGTAGATCACCCAATCTTCCTTCTGAGGAGTGGCTGGTGGGTTTGAACCGCCACCTTTCTGGTTAACAGCGAAATGCCTTAGGCACAATGCCACCAGGGCTCCTATACAGTAAAAGGAACTGTTAAAGTGACTTGCCCAAGGTCACACAGCTAACAAATGGGGGATAAAGGATTTGAATTCAGGTCCTTGGCTCCAGATCCCAGGCTCCGTCCAGGACACAAAGGTGTGAAGGCTCTGGGTGATTCCGAAGTTGAGGTGGCTTGAGTCCGGCCATATGCACTCATGGACATGTGACCCTTCCAGCTTCCCCTTGATTCCCCCCAGTTTGGGCTGAGCTGGGAAAGACTGGGGGAGTTGGGGGAGGGACTTTTCTGACTTTGCTCTCCCGCCATCCAGAAGGCCAGGCAAAAGTGGCTACTCCCCTTTCTGCTCCCCAAAGCATCATCTGGTCCAGGCCTGGTACCCGGGGACTCCTGGCTCAGGCATCACCCCTCTCAGATGGGGCCAGATACCCCTGGGTTAGAGGAAAGTGAGGGTGGGGTTTCAACCACCTCACTAGTCTTCTCGTTGTTAGGGGCTGTCAAGTTGGCTCCGACTCATAGCGACCCTGTGTGCCATAGAACGAAACACTGCCGGGTCCTGTGCCAGCCTCACGATCCTTGCTATACCTGAGCCCATCATTGCAGCCACTGTGTGCTTGAGGGCCTTTCCCTTTTTCACTGACCTCCACTTTATCCTTCTCCAGGGAATGGTCCCTTCTGGCAATATGACCAAAGCAGGTGAGACGAAGTCTGGCCATTCT